TATGGTAAGATTAAATGGCGGTGTTTGTAAGGTTTACTATGAAAATGGGCTAATTGAAAGAAGTAGTCAAACCACGAGGATCCGCGCCAAGAAATTGTTGCATCAAGCGGGCGTCGATGACTTCCGGTGTTGAGGCCAAAGGGACATTTCGTTATGCCTAGCAAAGTATTTCCAAGCTAGTCTGTCTCTGATGTTGTTCTGAATGAAAATGTAGTTCAAAAGTTTTGGTACTTACTATTCTGGAGCTACAAGAAGCTTTAAGGCTTCCGGAATGGACAGTCGATATGAAACCCGAGCACAGCAATACCATACCCTACTCGGCTTACAGCAGTTGTGGGCTGATCTCAACGCAAACCAGGCTAGACAGCCAAACAGCGATGATGCGCATTGGACACATGCAGCAATAGCGGCAGGCTAGAAGTGGCCGCAAGCTAGCGCCGACTGGTGATGCTGTAGCGCCCGCTGACTAGCGCCTACTCGAGCAAACCGAGACTGACATTCGCATAAAATTTGAACACATTATCACAGGCCCGAGGGGCCGCAATCACAATTCGGATGCTTTATGATCGGATCGATTAGCCTCGTTGTAGGACATCACATCAGGCTTAAATGAGAGTCGCCTCTATCATGACTCAGCCGAGACGACTTCAAAAGACGAGCTTTACCATTGGTTCAATTTGGCTGACCACATCAAGCCACACCATGACCCAGGCGCCAATCAGAAGTTTACACTAATACAGCCAATAAACTAGGCAAAAAGGCATCAAAGGCTACGACATTCGCTTCCGCCCTGACGGGGCGCCGGCTACCGACCTTTAAGCGACACCCCACAGTCTCCTTTCTCGCCTGTAACTCATTCGGTACCAAGAAGTGTCGTGGCAATTCGGTCGCCTGGTTTGTTTTCGCGTCGCGCCTCCAAGGGCATGAGGCTTATTTTCCTAGTCTGGTCATAGAAGAGAGCTATTGGAAACAGCATGATCGACTTCGACTAAGGTCAGTCATTGAAACATTCCCATTCCCGCCTATACAAGTCAAATCCCGCTACAACGAAACTTTCGAGATGGCCTCGGTCAAAGGGAAGAAAGTTGTAATAAAAAATTGAATCGTCCGTTATTACGCTATTCGTTATAGCGGGAGTTGACACACACAATAGCTTACGGTGTGTGAAGTGTAAAGATGAGCAAATAAAGAAGCTCCAATAACTATTAACATAGAATTGAGCTAATCACTTTCTATACAAACAGACTAGCTGGCGTTTTGTGAATAAATGCGAAAATTTAGATAGCTCATTTAACAAATTTAGATAATTCTCTACTTTTTTCAGCTTTCTCATAAAGCCCATCTCAGTCTTTTCTTAGATTTCGCAATATCGTCCCTCTCAGTTATCCTATCCTTTCTGCGCCACCACCATGCCAATATCTCTATCTGTCTCTCTCTCTCTTGATAGTGAACTTGGAGTGCCATTGTTAAGAGGCATCGCGCATAAGATTGCATAATAAGACAAAAGATCTCAAAAAGAAAGAGGAATTTTGGAAAAGAGAGGTAAAGAGAGAGGATAAGCCTATAGAGGTGCAGAAGAGTAAATCGGCTTATCAGTAGTCCTGAAAATAGAAGTGTGTTGTTATCAGAAAAATAAGACGAAAGCAAGCGCTATACAGTACGAAGAATAGACAAATTGCGTAGATTAAATTTTTAAACCTTGGCCTTAATAAGGCGGATAAACACAATGGCTACAAACAATGCCTGTACAGCGCAAATAAAAGGATGTCAGAAAATTGTTGGGGGGAAGGTAATAACATTTCCCTAATTAGAATCTCTGATAGAACATTAAAGAGGAAGATGATTGGTAAGTCGACGTTGTGATAAACCAAGACGTGTGACTAAAAATAAAGCGCCCTGAAATAAATAAAAATAACATATGAAAAGAAGCAGGGTTTCGAATAATCCCTTGATAGATTGAGGTTGACATGCCATTCATTTAGTTTGAAAACGAAGGAGGAAAGGATTCGTATATTTGCCATACCGAAATCCGAAGGAGTGTTAACTTAGACTTGCGAGTTTAGATTGTGTGAAAAAGAACTCGGCTTACAATTTTGCGATCCCGATGAATCTGTTTTGAACTTTAGTTCACAATCAGGTGGAGATAGTCAGATAAAGAAACCATCACTTAGGAAAAGCACCCAAAAACACTAAACCAAGAAATGTGGCTGGTTGAAATCCAACTTATTTCTCATGTCTCACTCTGCAATCTTAATGAGGCATCCAATGGTTAGTTAGCTACCTCATGCCTACCCTATATGCATGTAGACGAGGCTATTGATGCATTAAAGGGGATAGATGTGGTCACAGCTTTTTTTTAGGTAAGTTAACTGGCATGTGATCCTGAAATAATGATGCTTGTTTTAGATTAATTGATATGTGGGCATTGCGTGTATGCAATACTAACGAGTCAGTAGACAAATGCGAGCCGAAACCAGATTCCAGGTTAATTAAGTCTTCTTCTCCTACTTAACTATAAATGCTCTTTCCTGTCTGCCCGCAAAACAACGTGGTCGTGTTGCCTATGCATCTTAGCGAGCGTATTAATCTTCATAGCGTCATTTGATGTCTCTACACGCTTATCAACTGGAGGAACAACTTGTAATTCAATCTCACTTCAAGTTTCCTTTACTACTCAATCAGTAATGCTTGAGACAAAAATTTCTTCCATTGCATTCGTACTCTAAGGCCGTGATTCCCAAACTGTGCGCCGCGGTGCCCCGGGGAGCCGCGGCCTCTTCACAGGGGGGCCGCGAAATATTGTATAAGCTTCAATGTGAGAAAATGTGCAGTGATTTGCAGGCTCATCCATCATATTAATTATTGAATATTTATTTAATGTTAATAAAGTAAACAAATAATGAAAATACACGAGTTTTATTTTTTTTTATCTCTTACTTACGATTAGTCTTACTTAGGGTAAGGCGCCATGAAAAAATTTTAATTGAGAAAGGGCGCCGCGACTAGGAAAATTTTGGGAACCACTGCT